GGATTCTTCTTTGTGGGGATAAATGATTTGAAAGTACTTACGACTAGTATTGGTAGCGAACAGAGAGGACGGGTGAGCTGCCACCCAGGACGGCTTCTGGGAGATATTCTATTGAAAGTCGGGTCATGTGGGGTGAACTTGAAGGGGAACATTATTTACAATCATAATTTATGCACCCAACTGCGTTGGGAGGGGTTGAAAAGAAGAGAGGCACTATACTGTCGCGAGTCTAACTAATGAGGCCGGGGTTATGCCAAGTATAATTCGAGTGCTCATCTCTCGGTGGTGAACCGCTAGGTTCTGTTCGGGTAAGGACTCTTCGTAGATCCTTGGAGATAAAACTCGCGTACTCATTATATTATGTCTTACTCTTTGAGCCAGTCGCCAGGATCATGGTCACTTGGTTGAATTAAGAGGCTACCACCGTACATGCAGACGTGTTTGGCATATCTGAAGCATTTGTAGAGCGACATAGGGAATCCTACAAGTCATATTCCGATATCACAGACCAGAAACGATACCAAAAAAAGTACAATTACAATACACAACGACGGACGAGACAGAATAGACGGAATAAACAGAGAGGTGCTACAAATGCCGGGTAAACGAAATCTATTGGATTAAATGAAGCGTGGATTAGGTCCATGGGAATATCATGCTGACGACCGCGCCGCTCGTTTACATTTCTGGGTTTTTTGATGACGGTTTAGGTTCTTGTCCTCCACAATTGTACCGCTAATCAACTCTAATCAGTGAAAATTCGAATGGGGTAAGAACACTCGGACTCACCAGTTGCCACATCGTTGCTCGTTCTTGGAGCGGTGCGACTTGAGACAATCGTTGGTATAAAAAGCCATTTGGCTAAAAAGGTGTTAGAGTGTGATGCACCTCTCAAGTCAATAGACTCACCAATTCTGGTCACCGCATCCTCGAGCGGCCTCACAGCGGTAAGGGCGATGGTTGATGTGAGTCCGGATATGGTCCATTGCACGGTCAGAGCGAGGGACCTGTAGACACAGGTATGTCAGATATGCTAGAATCGATTGAATACGAGAGTCCTACCTTCTTGCCACACAAAAGGCACTCGAATTGCCTCTGGCCTCCGGCGACATGCTTCTTAATAAATGGAGTGAGTATCTTGTGAGGTCCCTTCTCGTTCTTGTACCACCAGTCTGACGTCAATATACTATGGAGGAGTAGTCGAAGTGAGGGATCAGCAGATCTGGGAAGGATGCTCTCGATGAGTAGGTCGGGGTTGATCCTATACTGCTCTCGGCTATGTCGAACTGGGAACATTGGGGAGGGTGATTGAGAAGATTCACTGATAATGATTGAAATGGGTGGTGTTACTGGAACTGGCGACCTAGAGGACACGGAAGATAGTGTGGGGGTATAGGAAGACGGGGGGAACCCGCTGGATGACGTTCCCAAGGGTGAGCTTAACGGTGAGTTGTCCGGTGTTTGCAGGGGATTTAGGCCAAATTGCAAGGGCGTTTGGGTCTTCAAGAAGGTCTCTATTTGATTGGTGAGCCGTGAACTACGAGGAGTCGTTATTATCTCTTACCTTCCACGTATGGCTGCGCGGATTCCATCGTTGACAATGGCCAGTATGCCGGATTATCAAACCGAACACTTTCCTCTTCTTTGAGATGAAGGTCAGTGGGCAGCACGTGATCTGGGATCACTTGCTCACGCATACCAGAGGGTACT